ATAACGGTTATGATATAATCTTTAATCAAAATTCATGTAAAGTTGTTAGTCAGAAAGATGGGACTATCCTGTTTAATGGAAAGAGGAGAAACAACATTTACAAAATCAAACTTTCTGAACTGAAAAGTCAGAATGTAAAGTGTCTTCTGTCTGTTAACAACGAGCAATGGATCTGGCACAGAAGATTGGGGCCTGTTAGTATGAGAAGAATATCTCAGATTAACAAACTCAATCTGGTCAGAGGACTTCCTAATCTGAAGTTCAATTCAGATGCTCTGTGTGAAGCATGTCAAAAAGGCAAGTTTGCTAAACCAGCTTTTAAATCTAAAAACGTTGTTTCCACCTCTAAGCCATTAGAACTTCTGCACATTGACTTATTTGGACCAGTTAAAACTGCTTCAGTCAGTGGCAAGAAGTATGGGTTAGTAATCGTAGATGACTATAGCAGATGGACATGGGTAAAGTTCTTAAGACACAAGGACGAGTCACACTCTGTGTTTGTTACCTTCTGTAACCAAGTTCAGAATGAAAAGGATCTTAGAATCGTCAAAGTCAGAAGTGATCATGGTGGAGAGTTTGAAAACAAAGATTTTGAATCATTTTTTAATGACAAAGGCATTCTGCATGATTTCTCTTGTCCTAGAACTCCCCAGCAAAATGGAGTTGTAGAACGAAAGAACAGAACATTGCAAGAAATGGCCAGAACCATGATCAACGAGACTAACGTTGCTAAGATCTTCTGGGCAGAGGCGATAAACACAGCGTGCTACATTCAGAATAGAATCTCCATAAGACCTATTCTGGAAAAGACTCCATATGAATTGTGGAAGAACAGAAAGCCCAACATTTCATATTTTCATCCATTTGGATGTACTTGCTTTATTTTGAATACTAACAATTATTTGAACAAGTTTGACTCTAAAGCACAAAAGTGTATTATGTTAGGATACTCTGAACGCTCAAGAGGGTACAGAGTATACAATACAGAAACACAGATTGTGGAAGAATCAATCAGTGTTCGTTTTGATGATAAGCTTGACTCTCAAAAGTCAAAGCATAATGAATTATTTGCAGGTATGGAAGTTGAATTCACAGGTACTGAAGACAAGTCATCAGAAGCTCCTAAAAGAGACACTCCCTCAACATCAGAAAGAGGCACTGCAAGCAATCCAGCATCTTCTGTTGATCAACCTCAGAAAAGACCATCCATAAGCAGCATGGATCACCCAGAAGAAACTATCCTAGGAAGAAAGGAAGATCCAATCAGAACAAGAGCCAGCTTCAGAAACTCTGAATAATCCCTCATGGGACTTGTCTCTCTGATTGAATCATCCTTAATTGATGAAGAACTTCTGGACAATGACTGGATTCTAGCAATGCAAGAGGAGCTGAATCAATTCACAAGGAATGACGTATGGGATCTGGTTCCTAAACCAAAAGGATTCAACGTCATTGGAACAAAATGGGTATTCAAAAACAAACTGAATGAGCAAGGTGAAGTCATCAGAAACAAGGCACGATTGGTAGCACAAGGTTATAGTCAGCAAGAGGGGATAGACTATACAGAAACCTTTGCTCCAGTCGCCAGGTTAGAATCTATCAGACTTTTAATTTCTTTTGCTGTTAATAAAGGCATCACTCTGTATCAGATGGATGTCAAGAGTGCATTCTTAAATGGCTATATAGAAGAAGAGGTATATGTGCACCAACCCCCTGGTTTTGAAAGTTCAAAAAATCCAGAATACGTTTTCAAACTGAAGAAGTCATTGTATGGTCTGAAACAAGCTCCCAGAGCTTGGTATGAAAGACTAAGTAACTTCCTGTTAGAAAAGGAATTCACCAGAGGGAAGGTGCACACAACCTTATTCTGTAAGACAGTTAAGAATGACATCTTAGTCTGCCAGATTTATGTTGATGATATAATATTTGGATCAACTAATCCCTCTCTGGGAAGAAAATTTGCTAAGTGTATGCAGGCAGAATTTGAGATGAGCCTAATGGGAGAACTGAAATTCTTTCTGGGAATTCAGATCAATCAAACCCCAGAAGGAACTTACATTCATCAGAGCAAATATGTCAGAGAACTTATGAAGAAATTTGATCTCTCAGAATGTAAGCCATCAAAGATTCCAATGTATCCCACGTGCATTCTGGAAAGAGAAGAGGTAAGCAAAAAGGTAGAACAGAAGGTCTACAGAGGTATGATTGGTTCTCTTCTTTATCTGACAGCCTCAAGACCTGATATTTTATTCAGTGTATGCATTTGTGCAAGATTCCAATCAGATCCTAGAGAATCTCACTTAACAGCTGTTAAGCGAATTTTCAAGTATCTGAAAGGTACTACTAATCTGGGTTTGTTTTATAGAAAATCTAGTGATTACAGCTTAGTAGGTTACTGTGATGCTGACTTTGCTGGAGACAGAGTTGAATGTAAAAGTACTTCTGGAAACTGCCAGTTTCTGGGAGAAAATCTGATCTCGTGGTCCAGCAAAAGACAATCCACCATTGCTCTATCAACAGTAGAAGCTGAATACATAGCAGCAGCTGGATGCAGCACACAAATGCTCTGGATGAAAAGTTAACTTGAGGACTTCCAGATTTATGAGAGTAACATTTCGATACTCTGTGATAATACTTCTTCTATTTGCTTAAGTAGAAATCCAATTTTGCATTCTAGGGCTAAGCATATAGAAATAAAACATCATTTTATTAGGGACTATATTCAGAAAGGAATTTTAAACTTAAAATTTATTGATACAGACCATCAATGGGCTGATATCTTTACAAAACCACTTTCTGAAGATAGGTTCAACTTCATTCTGAATCATCTCAGCATGAAGCTCTGTCCAGAATAAAACTGTTTTAATTTTATATATTAACCTTCAGAATTATGTTTATTTCTCTGTGAACTTCTGATCAATCCTCTTTCAGAATCTTAGAAATGTAGATTGTATCAGATCTATCCATGAAGCTCTGAGCTCTTCAGTTCAAGGATAGAAGTGATGTTCACTTAAAGCAAACAAGTGTCATCCAGTCATCAGCTGGTTCTTGAGGCTGAACACGCGTTCATGCTTCTGAAAAGGCAAAGCGCTGATTGGTTGCATTGAGACACATGTCACTGGTAACCGTTTAAGTATCTTTCTTAAATCCCCTAAAATCAGCCATCAATTAATGCTATTAATCATGATTTATTTCTCTCTCTTAACTGTTTATGTTTTCAAAAACTTTTTCAAAAGCTATTTAAACACCATTCACACCATTCACAACGTTCACCCTAACCTTCGTTTTCAATCAATATTTCACTACAAGAAAATTGGCAGATTGCGACAGGTATTTTTGTAGATTACGACGGTTAAAACCGTCGCAATTTGCTTTCCACGACGGTTGCTTTACCGTCGCAGAAGTGTGTGTCCCCAACCTATTTCGCGACGGTTACAAAAACTGTCGTTCTAGTTTACGACGGGTTGATACCGTCGTGACTATCTTTTGAGTTTCTTTTAATTATTGATGGCGACGGTTCGATACTGTCGTGAATATCTTGTGAAATTGATTAAATTGTTTATGGCGACGGTTCGATACCGTCATGACTTTTGTTGATTATTTTTAATTGTTGATTACGACGGTTCGGTACTGTCGCCATGACTTTTGTTTATGTCTTGATTTTTTTTTATTTTTCTATTATATATATTTTTTATTTAAATTATTATCTATGTAAAAAATTTTAAATATAGTTTTTTTTTTGTTATTTTTTTCTTTAAATTATTTCTTTAATATATTTATTTATAGTATTATTTTTTGTTTTATTTTCTATCACTTTGTAATATAGTAAAAATAATTTCAATAAAAAATATTTAACATCAAATAAGCATTATAATATCCAAAAAAATGTGTGTTCCATAATCATGTAAAATGCGAGTTCCATAATCATGTCAAGTAGTACAAAAAACCCAAAATATATCAATTCCTAATCTTATAATAATAAGTATCATTATGCCAAAAATACATGAGAAAGTTCACAATCTAATTATCTCGATCATAGCAAAGTCTAATTTGTCCCCCCTAAAGTTCCATTATCTCCAATACGGTAGCTAGACTCAGATGAACGTCTACCATCAGCGGGTGATTCCAATCCCTAAAAAAAGGTATTAAAATAATAATCTTTAAAATAATACTCATAAAATTTAACTTTAAATGCGTCAAAATAATATACCTGTCTTCCACTAAAATTCTGCATTTGCATTAAGAGTTCAATTTCCTTTGTCCTCGCCTTGTCCCTTTGCGTTAAGAATATGATTGCCTGTGTTAGGATTTTAAAGTGCTTTTGCGGTCCCGTATGAATGCGATTGCAAACATTGCAATTTTGGTTATTACAATTGCTTATAAGAATAATGTATTTGTAAAGGCACACTCAAATTTAAGATAAAATTCTTATAAGATAAAATTCTTTAGTCTAACACTATTAAACAGTGATATAGTAAAGGCACACTCAAATTTAAGAATGAAATCATACCTCAAAGACGCACGAGGGTTTGAAGAGCAGCGAAGCAAGTGGAAGAGAAAAGTTACCTGCAACAAAAACCAAAGCAGCATATCAATAGTTGGTAGAAATCATAGATTTATCAAATAGAAATCTTATATTTTTCAACAGCTCATATCCCTTTAAATCCAACAAAAACATTATTATTTTCATTCTAGTGCAGAAGACACTTCATGTTTCAGATGCATGAAGGGGTGCAGCTCAGTTTCTTGAGAAGAAGGGGTTCACTCAATTTACTCCTCACTTTATAACTTGGTACTGCCCTAATGATTTTCTCTTAAGCAATCAATGCAAGTCTCAGTGTATAAACAACGGCCGGTACTGTGCTCCAGACCCTCAATAGCATCTATGATATAATTTAACAGAATTCCAGATTACTAGATCTGTTTTGTATTATTTATAAACTGTCAATGTTTTTCATATGCTCTAGCTTGTGTAAACATTTCTCTACCACATGTTAATTTTAGACCCTACCAACAGGAGAAACTGGTGGATTAGAAACATAACTTGTAGGAATATCTTCTAATTTACCAAAAGCCTTTAGTTCCTCGGTTTGCGACTTTCTTGTTCCAGAAAGCTCACATGGCATCTTGCTATCAACTAATGCAATGCAAATGGCGAATGCTTGCAAAAGTGAGAGCGACGAGTCAAAGGCTACAGAACTCATACCATTTTCTAAGGGGTTAAGCTGAATGCTGGGCACGGATCGTGTTTGTTCCCCTGTGGTTAGCAAGAAAAGAGATGCACCAAAGTTACTAATCTTAGTAATATGTAATAGCGTATGCAAAATATGTTTCATGAACAAAATGTACCTGAACAAAAAGATCGAATTGATAATCTGCAAAATAAGGTTTGGATGACAGTGGTTTTCTACTGGCTTGATTGTCAGTAGCAATAATTTTAAGTTTGCAAGCCAAATCCCAACCGCCGCAGTCACATGATCCACCGGATTTCCACCGCTCAAGTAGTGATGAAGGTCCGCCTTTACTTGGAAAACTATGAACCCCGCCTGGGAGCACAACCGTTGCATGGACAATGTCATGACTATCACTGTGGCAACTGCTATGATGTTGATTGTTAATGAAACTGATAGCTTTAGGTATTTTGACGGCAATAGCAGCAAGCTCGTCTTTTGGCTGATAGTCGGCGTCCTGAGCATCACTTTGCCCGAGCTTTACAGAAAATAAAACAAACTCTTTCACGGTAGAGGAGTCCATACAATTCTGGCCGGTTAAATCATAATAATGCAAATAAGAAGCCTTCATTTGAGCCACAACATGGGGAACATAATCAGGTTCTTTGCTTCTGCCTGCTTTACTCATCCAACTTCCATTCTTCTTCTTAACCTCGCTAAAGGTTAAAAAGGTATAGATGCGGTTGCATTCGTCTTTTCCAGAGTCGCCTAAGTTCTTCACTTTGGCTGCAAGAATGTTACCGTCAATTTGGTTAACAGCAAATGTAAAAAGAGGCAGACCGTTCTTCACAGCAATTCTCAAAAGAGCTTGTGTCGTCGATGGGGCATGCTTCATCTCCCTTGAAGAATCAACGGTATTAATTGCGCTACAACCGGCCTTATGGTCCCTATCCACTTCTTTGATTGGATGTAGAGTTGAAAATCTCCCATTAGCTGACCTATAATTCTTATTTATTGACAAGGAAAACTTCTGAGATGAGTCCAATGAGCGACTGAACTTAGCTGTCTTTGGTTTCAGCAATGGATCCAATAACCTCCTTAAAGGGCTTGACCTGCTTCTACCAGCATCACCAGGTTTATCATTTCCTGAAATGTTTAAGTTATCACAACCTCTCACATTGTCTAAACTATATTCAGCAGCTTTTATAGAGTTCTGATGCGGCACGTGCCCAGTCTCTTTACAAGCAGAACCTCTACTTGTATAGCTGGTGCTGCTTAATTGACGAAAAGGTGAAGAGCTTCTTGACTTTCCAGATTTAAAATATAATTTGTTGATTTGAACCTATGCATTAATCACAGATAGCAGCACATACGCTGATACGCTAGACTATAAAAGGATATCCACTACTACAAAGAATAAAAAACAATATACTAACTAAACATGAATCCTAACAGGTGCAATCAAGACAGAACTTGAAGTTTATAGTGAGACATAACAAAGATGGGTAAAAATAATTGGTTGTTGCTGGGTAGCAATTCTTATTTTAATGCATCAATCACACACAATAATTCATCAACATTTACACCTGGGTAGCAAATACGTAGCAAATACATGCTTTACAAAATGAAACTGAGAAATCTCCTAGATTTTAATATTATTGTCAGCAACAAAATCACATGAGCATCCAGGTATGACTATCAGAGCAGTAAGACAAGTACTAATCATGACAAATGCCAACCCCTAATCTAAACTGCTGGGAACCATAACAAACTCGAGTAAAGAAAGTACCAGAGCAGAAAAGGATCCAATGTGAATGGGAACACAATAACATTTCAAAATCAATTGTATTGATTTAGAATAACCAGCATGAGTATAATACAGTTAACTAGCCATTAACTATAAACACTGAAAATGAAATTCTCACATTAGCAATAGACTTTGAGCAGCCAAAGAAGCAGCAGAATATTTCACCTCTGCAATAACAGCAGGGGTTGCAAAAAAACCACTAATAACATGATTCAATTCAATTGACTAGCTTAGTAAATGGCATGTTAGATTCAACAGTATAGCAAATGATGAACACTGAAAGATCTTCGATTCAATACCATACATAAACAACTTAAAAGATCTAGACCAAACAAAATTTTCATTCGCATGTAACAAACGATTAATCAAAATGTAGCATTCAAAATATTACTATTTTCCACAGATCTAAACCCAAAACAAAAAAGCAAAGAGTATCTAGAGAAAGCGATAGTAATGCATACGCTTTCCGCCGCCGAGAACGGAGTGAACGGGCTTCTCCCTTCCAAAAAGGCGAAAAACCTTGTCCTTAACTGATGAAATCTCTGGTTTAACAGATTCGGAATGAGAATCGGAGTCGGAATCGGAGGACGATTCGTCAAAGTGAAGCTTCGCTGGGATCTTTTCAAACAACGAATCGCCGCCAGTCGCTGCCGTCACGGTGCTTCCGGATTCTCTGAAAAAGTGAACGCAGAGTAGAAAGGGGAGATCAAAAGGAGAAAAGAAGCATAATGGAACATAATATACGAATATGACATTTGAATTTGCAACCTACAATATAAAATCAAATAAAAACATAGTCCTGAAAAGAGGAGATACTTACTTCCACTAGTAAAATTACATACTAAAAAACTGACATATTGGGAGAATAATACTAGAAGTGCCAGGAGAATTTTGCTTATCAACTAGATAAGCAGGATGAGAGACGCATTTATTATTACTAAGAGTTGAATGAGCAAGAATATATCCGCAAAGGTTCCAATTAAAGCCCATTTACCAGCCCACTAGGCTTTACCAAGTCAAGAACCACCAAATTGAGTAAAGTCTAGAGAATTACCTTTATAAGAACCAAACTTCCTATTGTATAGTATATGTCAACCAAAGTACTAGCATCATTGACAGCAACTTTAAGTCTTGAAGCAATATCCTTTACAAAATAAAGAACTTGCATCAACTATTCAAAAACACAACAAAAAGCACTGACAATCAAGCCTCGACTCCGCACTAAAACAATACGAAAGCATAAAATTACCTGGAAAACACCCTTATCAACCTTGCATTTTAAAATGCCATTGACCTTTAAGGCATAGAACAAATCCTTGAGAGAGGACGACGACCCGAGATTTTCCACTACCTTCCGACAAGTGGTTATGCTCACATCAGGCTTATTCTCAAGCGCAAGAATCTCAAATACTCTTAGAGCATCACAGGCTTCTTCTAAACTGATAAGATAACAAGAACAAAAATGAATTTTCCTACTCAGCCATCTAACATATAATTTCAACATACTACTGCAAACCTAAAATATTAATTAACAACAAAACTTATCTAAATAACTAGTGTTTGATAACAATTGAACATGATATAATTAATTAATATTTGATTAATTAAGGGTTGAATCGACCTTGAAGAGGAACCATCGAAGAGTTGTAAAGCAGCGGAACGGTGAGAATCGGAAATCGGACTTGGATTCGTGACGGCGTTGCAGATCGAAATAGTGAAAAACAGTATGAGAAATTTGGCTAGGTTTATGGCCATTTCTGCAGCTATGAATCTATGAATGCAAATCGCATTTACGATAGGTTAGGGATTTGAGAAATGAGATCGAGAATTACGAGATACGCGAAGAAACGACTTGTGCGAGTGAGTCTGTGTGTTTTTGGTGCAACTGAACTAGTATCATCACTGGCTCTTGATCATATAGTCATCTTTTCAAACAACGAATCTCCACCAGTCGCTGCTGTCACGGTGCTTCCGGATTCTCTGAACGCAGGAGTAGAAAGTGAATGGATGTTTTATGAGATTTTTAACTTTTTTACGGCGACGGGTGTTTTACCTTCGTGCCCATGAAAATTTTTGAAGGTTTTGAATGCGACGGTTGTTTTACCGTCGTGAAATGAATTTTAGGACGGATAATTTTACCGTCGTGAAAGGTTTAAGGGTGCGACGGCTGCTTTACCGTCGTGATATGCCTTTTAGGACGGTTAATTTTACCGTCGTGACTAGTTGTTGGTGAAAAATCAATGTTAAAAGTGTTAAATGGGGGCCGACGGTTGTTTTACCGTCGTAATAATAATATTATGATGGTTAAATATACCGTCGCAAAATAAATATTAGGGACGGTTGGTGTCAACTGTCGTAAACACTGTCTCTATATGTCAATTACGACAGTTATCACATAACTGTCGCAATTTTTGTGTCGTTAAACACTAATTTTCTTGTAGTGTTTCTGTGTTTGTGTTCGTCCTTCTCAAGAAAACCCTTTCAAATTTTTTCTCTCAAGAACTCGTGTGAGCATGGCTTCTAGCAACAATCTCTCTTCAGGTTCCCAGCAAGATGCATCAGCTGAGCAATATGAGGTTCCTCTCAGAATGCTACTCACTCCGGTCAAGAACCTTGAAGTTCTGTCAGAGATTATAGTGGATTTCAACAGTTTGAAGGAAAATGGTTTTGATTTATCAGAAGAGATTCAAGCTCAAGGATGGGAAATGTATTTTGACAGGTTGGTGGGTCCAACTTTTCCTATCTTGGTTAAGGAATTTTGGATTCACGCCTCTTCCTCAAATCACCAAGTCACCTCTTACATAATGGGGAAGAAGATAGTGATTATTGAAGACCTGATTGGAAAACTGATTGGATACAATGGCGATGGTATTCGCTGTATAGACATGGCTGAAAGGTGCTCAGATGTTGCTGTTGTAGCAAGGGAAATTTTCACGCTGGGGCTTCCCTCCAGCAAGATAAGGGATCTGAAAGATAAGCACAGAATTTGGGCAAAGATTATTCTGGGATGTTTCAACCACAGGAAGCCCACAAGCTCTCCTGATTACATAAACATAGATCAACAGTTTCTGATTTATTTTATTTCTCAGAGGGTAAAGATTAATCTAGCTCATCTTCTGTTCAACCACCTAAGAACAAGCATCAAGGAGACAAGAGAAGATGAGCGCACTAAAAGGGATTGGATACCCTTGGGCAGATTGATATCAGATATTCTGACTGAGAATAGGCTGATTGAACACTTGACAGAGGCACAAGAGATCAGCTCACTGGAACCTTTTATTGGCAAGAAGCTGAATGCCAAGAATCTAAAGAAGATGAAGCTGATAGAGAACATTAAGAAGGAGCCCAGCGTCACTCCTTTTGCTGACATCTCCAGCAGAAGAGTCCCTCTGGACGACTTTCCTATGTTCTCAGAGATTGACTCCAAGCCTCAGATCATTCTGAGATACTTGGATGCGTGTAAAGCTGATGGTACAACTCCTAATCTTAACATTCAAGATCTCCAGCAGAAAGCACCAGAGGTTGCTCTAAAGAAGACTAAGAAGAGAAAAGCTGCTCCAGAAGGATCATCACAAAAGACTCCAAAGAAAAGAGGTATTCCTGTTTCTGTATCTGTTTTAAATTCAAGTGCTGTTTCCACATCCATTCCTACTCCAATTCCATCTGATATCCCAACACCGCAAACCTTTGAAGATTTTGAAGACTTTGACCCTTCTGAGTCATTAACCCTCAGAAGATTCCGCTCCCCAAACACAAAATCCAAATCAACAACCAGAAATTCCCATTTCTCCACAACCTGATATTCCACTTTCACCAATACCAGAAACTCCACCCTCTCCGACACCAGAACCAAAAATTCCACAACCTCCTCTCCTCAACCAGAAATCAATCCACCTTCTCCTCAACATACACAATCTCCACAACCTGAGACTTAAAACTCTGAGGCTCAAACCTCTGAGTCCCCTGAACCACAACCCTTGGCCATTCAATTGCCTTGTGGTACAACTGCCAATATGGCTCAACTTCCCTCTTCACCAGAAACAACTCTCCAGAAGGATCATCACAACAGACTCCAAAGAAAAGAGGTAATCCTGTTTCTGTATCTGTTTTAAATTCAAGTGCTGTTTCCACATCCATTCATACTCCAATTCCATCTGATATCCCAACACCCCAAACCTTTGAAGATTTTGAAGACTTTGACCCTTCTGAGTCATTAACCCTCAAAAGATTCCGCTCCCCAAACACAAAATCCAAATCAACAACCAGAAATTCCCATTTCTCCATAACCTGATATTCCACTTTCACCAATACCAGAAACTCCACCCTCTCCGACACCAGAACCAGAAATTCCACAACCTCCTCTCCTCAACCAGAAATCAATCCACCCTCTCCTCAACATACACAATCTCCACAACCTGAGACTTAAAACTCCGAGGCTCAAACCTCTGAGTCCCCTGAACCACAACCCTTGGCCATTCAATTGCCTTGTGGTACAACTGTCAATATGGCTCAACTTCCCTCTTCACCAGAAACAACTCCACCACATACTCCACATAGTCCAATCGTTATTTCTGACTCTCCCACTCCCTCACCTAAGAAAAATACAGAAAACCACAGCAAGACAGTCATTGACCTAACAATCCTTGAACACCTTGCTGCAATAAACCAGAAAACTGCCATCCCTAAACCGAAACAACCAGATGTTGGTTCCAGCATTTTGAACTTTGAATCAGATACGCAGAAGTGGATCACTTCTTTGAAACAAGCAAGTCTGGAAGTGGTTGATCCTGCTGTATCAGATCATCTCTAGACTCAATTCAGAAGATGGGTATGCGCTGAAACCTTCAAGTTGCAAGACCAGAGCTATGGACAGGCTCAACAGAACTTCAGCAATCTGCTGAAGGAAATGGAAGGTCCAGTTCTGAGCAAGGTGCTGAAGGAAGAAGTTCTCCATCTGGACAGTGAGCCTTGGTCTGAAAAGAGTCCAGCATCAACAGTTCAACCTGCAGAAGAACAGATTATTCAAGATGAAGACTTGGGTCAAGCAGAAGAAGCCACAGAAAGCTCTGAGAAGCAGCCTGTATTTGAAGATCCTCAAGCTTCCTCTCTTGACAGGCAGGCTCTAGAGGATTTGAAGAGATCAGATATGCTGATGAATGAACAGATGGACAAGCAGGATATCAAGATTGATTCTATAGCAAGCATGGTAGCCAAGCAGAACGAAACCAGCGAACAAATCAAGAGCATGTTGGAAGTTCTGTTCACACGACTTCCTCCTTCTTCTTAGATTTTTCTTATGTTTTCCTTGTTTTTCTTTACATGTTTGTCTGTAATATTTTTACTTGTTCTAAACTATCATTGCTTCTGTTTTAATATAAACGTGTTTTTGCTTTAATCTTTTTAACTCTGATTATATATGCTTTTTGATCGCTGACAAAAAGGGGGAGAAAGAATGATATTTTTCAATAACGGTTTACTGAGACAAAAGTCTCAAACATTCTAACATCCTTATATATTTGATGTTCTGAAAAGCTTACAGCTACAAGAATCTGCAGAACTCTGATGAAGCAAAATTCTGATGCTCAAAGAAAGGTTCAATAAAGTTCTAAAGCTCTGATACTCAAGGTATTAAGGAATCAAAGGGAAATAATCAACTCAGGGGGTAGTTTTTCTCATCATTACTATGATATTGTTTATTTCTTACCCTCTTAGCTCTGATACCTTTTGCTCATTATCTGATTATCTCTGATACTGTTTCCTCTCTATCCTTAAACTCTGATACTTTCATCATTTATTTTAATTAAAAAAATTTGGTTTTTGTCATCATCAAAAAGGGGGAGATTGTTATAACATAGTTTGATTCTACAACCCTCAGTTAGAGTTTTGATGATAACAAAATACAAGATTAAATGAATTATGAGTTTTATATAAGACATAGATGCTACTTAAAATTATGTTGTATATTTACAGGAAACTCTGATGGAATCAGCATCAGAAGATATGTCACATCAGAAGATCAAATATGTGCTATGCTGAAGTCTGATGAACAGAATCTGCGCTCAACATACTCTGACTCTGATCAAGATCTTAACAATGTCATCAGCACTCAAAAGCAATCAGAATAAGCTAAAGCCAACACACTCTGATCTTAATCAAGCAGAACATTCTGAAGTGTCAACGGTACTGCATTCAAGGCAGATTAATTACCAACGGCTTTATTCCAAGACAAAGATCTTCTCAAAATGGAAATAACGTAATGAGCATTGAAATGGAATTATTGGCATCAACGTATCTTTTCCAAGAAGTATTTAAACAAATCAGTGAGAAAGGAATTGGCTAATGCTCTACAATACTCTACACGCCTAAAGTCAATCATCTTCATCCTCACTCATACAGTTTGCTAAAGCTCTCAAATTGCTTACTCTATAGTTCTAGCATTCTAGTTTCATATAAGCTTAATTTGTGTATTATCACAGTTGTGATATATAGTTTTTGTAGAAAACATCAAACACACATAATTGTTCATTTATCTGTAAGAAAGAATTTCCTTGAGAAACCGGTTTGTGGTTTAGACTCAAGAAGGCTTTAGCAGTTGTTAAAGCAGCTTTGTATTCAGTTGAATATAGTGGATTAAGACCTCGTTGGAGAGAGGAGAAATCACCTTGACGGGTGGACTGGAGTAGTTTGAGATCAAACGAACCAGGATAAAAATAACGTGTTGTCTGTATTTGATTTCAAGTTTCAACAATTCAACC